ATATATATATATCTGTTTAAACAAGAAGCTTTCGGAAAGAATCATGAGCGTCTCTTGGCCTCGATCGTCTTTTGCCTCTCCGCCAAGAGACGATGCCACTCACCTAGGCGGCCGTCGTGTCTGCAGCGATATGGTGTCGCTGTCTCAGGCCCAAGAGATTCACTGGTGTCATGGGATGTGAAAGGTCGAAAGAGATCTGAAAAAGACATGCAATATGTTGGACCTGTATTCCTTTTCTATTTTCTTTCTACATGGCCTCCAAGCTAGAAGCAATGGCCTTCAACCTAATAGCGATGAAAATATATGTACATATACTAGATGTATATAAGTAAGTTACTTAGGCCCTCCGAGTAGGGTAAGCTTGACTGTATGTCAAATCAAGCAAAAGAATCATCGGCCTGCCACCCGCTGTATGTCTGCATCGAGTCTCTCACACCTGAGATAGGAACACGATGATAATAAATTTAGGCATCAATGATTACAGTCATGTCACTTTCACACAGGCCAAAGCCTTCATGCCTTCGTGATTCAATCTTATTGTAGCCACCCTGGAAGCCTGAGCACCCTGCTCTTGTTCCAAGTGTTGCCTTCCAAACCTCACCTCTGAGGCCATCTTCACCTACAAAATCCACAAGGCCACAAAGCCCACAAGAGAATGTGTTTGTGCGAATCAAAATCCTTTCTGGTGCCTCCAGCACAGGCTCTTCTGCGTGCAAAGGCTCTTCCAAGACAGGGGAGTTTGGCCGAGCCTGCGTGCTCAACTCGCGCTGCAAAGGCGTGTGGCATAACTCGTCCCTTCATAACTCGTCTGCCAATAGCGCTGGGGTCACTGGGTCATGAAAAAATCAGCAGCAACATGCTGCCGCTCAAAATGAGGGTGGGACCGTTTAGGCTACCTTTCGGGCTATAGCAACATGAGAGCTTTCAACCCGAAGTGTACCCTGAAATGTGTATACATGTACATCGTCGATAAAAATCAGTGAGACTTCCACAAACACAGAAAGCTGAGCTTTCACTCTCTTGAATTATGCAATGGCTTACTAGGGAAGCGTGTTGCTCAGGTTTCAGCCAAATCCCAGCAACCCTGGACACTCTCCACCTCTTCACCAAATGTCATCACTGATTTTGGCGGTTGCTCATATGAAACCCAGAAAACCTCTGAACGGCAATCCAATGATTCAATGTCACAAGTTCTATTCGCATACCGTCAGCCTCAGTGCCATCTTCAACACCGAATGGCACCTTGCAGGCACGTTGCCCAAGCTCTCCAAACAATGTTGATAGGAAGGAAAGTGGAAACCTTGCAATATTCGATGATGTATTTTTGTGCCATGCTTCACACATCCGTGATTCACCCAATCCACGAACTTCCTCATGACTGCATTGCCTCCAGGTCTTGCTCCTTGCTGGGATCCTGTGCAAAAGTTCGAGGCAGCACAGCAATACGTTCGAGACAGTTTTACTCAAGCCATTGTTAGCTGTGTGTGTGTGTCAACCCCTGTTTCCAAGGGTTCCACCTTACAATTTCCATTGTTCACGCAGGGGGGCAGCGGTCCTTTCAGCAGTCACTGCCTAACAAAGACACTGCTGATCGGATGTGGCATGACTCTGGGACGCCGGAGTCGCGTACCTGCATTTTCCAAACTGTTCACAAGCTGTCCAATGCGTTGTTTCCTGCAGCTGAGCCGCGTCGACATTCGCCACCGCAGACATGTCAACAGTTTGTTCAAACAATACAAGTGCGCTGACCCTTTCACCTTGCGTTTCCCTCACCTTCCTTCTCAACGTGGGAATTGAATTAACAGCAAACCAATGTCAGAGTGTGTGTGTGTGTATGTTCCTTTTTCTTTTTCGATAAAGTCGTTAGACAGTTTCGTCTTTTTGGATATCATTACCATCAGGTTGGAGGCCACCGCTCTTAGGTTGGAGGCCATTGCAATTAGGTTGGAGACCATTGCAATTAGGTTGGAGGCCATCGCTTCTAGGTTGGAGTCCATCGCTTCTAGGTTGGAAGCCATTGCAATTTAGGTTGGAGGCCATCGCTTCTAGGTTGAAGGCCA